TCACTCAAATTGATAATATTGACATTTTAACATTAATTCTATTCAACTCAACAACCATCTTGTCCTTTATATACAGGTGTTGCTGCAAAGGTAATACGATTTAGTAAACTTATAGTATACCCTTTATAAGCATAATTTGTTGGTATCATTCCGACCGTTTACATTATTATAATAATCTGACTCGTATATTCAATATTGTGTCTACAATCAGACATCAAATCATATATAATAATGTGAACAGTTACATATAAAGTATAGACTTACAGTACGGTACAGTGGAACCCTTTAATGCCAGGTGATGAAATACTCGTGTTAACGAGTGATTGGTTGGGAGTTATGTCGGGTCGACATGGCAACTTGTCTGCTGGTCCGAGACTAGTGATAGATTGTAAGGGCTGTTGATATTATACAAACAATTAATTTGAAATGAATTGTGGACTGCTTGGATTTAGTTTGTGACATCAGTTTGATAGATCTCCACGTTTAGAATGTACTCATAATGTGAAATTGATCACCTTTTGATGCTGATATGTGCTTATAGGACAATGCAATGCATGCTTCTCCAGATGACTGCATGATGATTCGTACGGAGAAGCAGAAGGGTGAATGGGTAGTCGTATAACTACTGTTATGGGACGCTTAACATGCTTAACATTTTCCCAGAGGTATAGATATATGGACAATGTATATGGACGGAGTTCGGGACTGAAGGGAACATGACAGTAAATTGTTTGTTTAGACATTATGGGCCATGTTCAGCAGTTACTTCACATGCACTGTAGAACGACGAGGATTCAAATGTTCAATATATTAATTCAGTTATCGGTTGATCAAAGTCCCCTTTTCTTGTAGTCATTGCTATATGGTTAACATTGTGGAGATATTTTAGTTTCTCCAAGACGTATGAGCTTGAAGATCGAAATTTGTGAAATGGCTTAACCTCTGGTGTACACTTGCTTTGGACTTGACGATCCCCTTGACTTTCCCCTTCCACGCTCATTGTTTGTAGATTTGATCAAAGCGTAAAATAATGATGCATTTCGATGTTATGTTTGTTTAATTGTTTGCTTGTTTGTTGTTTAACGCCGCATGCGACCAGACAACCCAGTGATTGCAGTCAGCGAGCCTAACCACCCGTCGCCTTTTACGACAAGCATGTTCTGCTGAAGATCCATTCTATCCCGGATCTACACTTGGGGTATGTTTGTTTCTAGAGCCTACAGATGTATTAACTGCTGTCGTCAAATGGAATGAATCAACTACGCTTGTAACGAAGTGACTTACATATAATCGGGTAAGAGGGACACAGGTGGCCGAGTCGTCTAAGCCGTGGGAATTCGCTATGCAGATGTGTTCCGCTGTGTGCCAGAAACCTTTAACCATGGGTCTCGAATCCCCGTTCGTTCTGATTATGTACCTTAGTTTGTCAGCACCAAACCCGTGCTGATGGCAAAATTTACGTCTATCGTAGAGCGATTCAAATTTGAGTTTTTACATTCAATTATCGGTTGATCAATATTCCATTTTCTGGTAGTCATAAATGTTGCATATTTGATATGTTGTTTATATTTTAGATTTTCCAAGACACAAGAGTTTGAAGATCGAAAGTTGTGATTTGGCCAAAACCTCTGGACACTGATGTACATTTGCTGTGGACTTGACACGGAATGTGACCGTTTCCCCATTAATGTTAATTGTGTGTTGTTTCACTCAAAGTGTATAACAATGAAGCATGTCTTTGTGTACGGCTGTTTCTGTTTGTTTGTTGTTGAATTCCGCACTGGAGTGTGCATCAGATAATCCAGTGAGTGACACCATGAACAAGGATCTACGCAATTTGGTTAGATGACATGCATCAACCAAGTCAGCATGACTGACAGTCCGATCCCGTTAGTCGCCTCTTAGGACACACGTGGGTTTCTGCAGATCAATTCCAACCCGGATCTTCAGGGTGTGTGTTTGTTTTAGAGGCTACAGATGTATTTGTTGCTGTCGCCTAATGGAAAAAAATCAACTTCGGTTTAGAGAACATAACAAAACATATAATCGGGTTAGGAGGCACTGATGGCCCAGTTATCTCAGGCCCGGAATTTGCTCTGCATGTGTGTGTCCCTGGTGTGCCAGAAACGTGGGTTTGAATCCCGATTTGCCATGGCTATCTTTCTTTGTTCGTCAGCACCAACCCCGTGCCATTCGTCATGGCGTTTTAGTCTAGATTATGCAAACTAGTGACTGAAAATATAAGCAACTATACTCGTCAACGGGGTACTTGAGAGCAGCAATCAGCCCAGTCAGAAGGCCTGACCAGACAAGGGGAGGTGTGGTGAAATGGGGTTCAACGCCGCGCCGTGTGTGTGTGTGCGAGCGTGTGTGCGTGCGTGCGTGCGTGCGTGCGTGCGTGCGTGCGTGCGTATGAGATACCATGCCGCAGATCAGCATGTATACCCTACTCAGACAGAAAAGTGCGGCAAGTACCATGACGCCTACACAATATAGTGTGGAGTCCGTACCATCTTGCAAGCGAACACTCATACATGCCACTGCAAAGTCACTTCTCCCATGAGACAAGGACACCTCTATAGGGTCTCCCTCAGAGTAAGGACGGGTTTCATGTGGACATGGAGGATGAGGAAACGGTCCCTATCCAGGTGTGTTGGCTGTGCCTCAGGGATTTCGAATAACATCAACACTTGGTTTCTTGATATGCTACCTTCACAATAGAGAATGGTGTAGAGCAAAATTGTGGCTGATTGTTTGCAACGCTTATGTGTGCCAGGATGCTGTGATTGTGGGTTCGAATCCAAGATGTCCCCGATTATGCTTATTGGGTTGTCCCCACTGCACTCATGCTCCTAGTTTTCACAATGGCGGTCAAACCTCTTAAGACCTGCATCACGTTGGACATGTCTCCCATATTAACACAAACACTGTTGTTTAGTTGAAAAACACTTCATAGCGGTGAAAAACAATTAACTCACTTGACCCCGTCCAGTAAGAAATGTCCAGGTGAAAGCTCACTAAACTCTCCACAGTGAGTGAGAGGTGTTTATCACCGCATTGATAATTTTTCACGTTAATGTGGGAGTAAAGCCGAGAGTGTTTGTTTATTCGTAGTTTAACATCACACGACACAATAGTACACCTATACAACAGCAGTCTGTTAATAATCGAGTCTGGACCAGACAACCAGTGATTGACTTCACGAGCACCGATCCATGCAACTGGCATACGATGACATGCATCAATCAAGTCAGCGAGCCTGACTGCGATCCCCTTGGTCGCCTCTCTTGCCTGGGATCTATTACCCTTGATCCACACTGATTTAATTCAGTTTCTTAATTTCAAGTTGAGTAGAAACCATATGTCTAATGCAAGGCACCTACAACTTGGCCTCAGTTCTATGACAAAGAGATCTGTCCAATGTAGGACAACATTTGATAAGAAAAGATAATCCCAAAGCATGACAGTTGCAGTGAATTTTAATAATGAGTGACACCAATGTTATACACATATTACTATTGATTAGACAATGTCAAAGTTAATCTCAGTGCAAACTCTTTCTAAAGTGACATGAAGTTTGCTTACCTGGTAGTTTGAGCTTGTTCAAAAATCCTAGTCTCAGAAAAATACATTTCATTGCTCTCTATTGCGTATGACAGTTGAATTGATGCAGTGCTTTGAAAATACATTCATAACAAAATTATTTTTTGATACCTTGAGGGAAAATTGGCAGATATGTTTCGATTTCAATACAATTATTTATTTGTATATCTTAACTGTATTATCAAAGGCACAAAAATATACAAATAACAAACTTGAATCCATTCAAGGAAACAATTTGACTATGCATTGTGTTCAACCCTGAGTATGTCGTAAACATATCAAAATAACAAAATAACACCCTCTTGTCCTGGATAAGGAGAACTTGTTAAAATGTCAGAGCAGGAACAAGACAAGAGTCTGGGCAAATAACCTTTCTACAAATGGGACCAACAATGTTTCTCTGTTCATCTAAATCTATCACTACATACCAAGGGCCATAACTCCGTATCCAGGACTTGTGAATCCGGGAATGTACTGATTTTACTTCCCCGTGCCCTTCTGGATATGTATAAAGACATATTGTATCTTCACAATGTTTCATCTTCAGTTGCATCGTGTACTCCACAAGTGCCTTGTTAACACAGCGTTGTGTGTCCGTCATATCACAGCATGTCAGTTGTCATATATCACAGACTGGGATTGAACTGACCACCAGTGTCTTCTGGCAAAGTTGTGATCGATAGAATGCACTGAGCAACGTACTGCCTAGATTCTCATAACAGAGTTTCTTACTTCAACGTGGCAGTCAGTTGAAAAGCTGGGAAAGAATAAAGTGTGAGTGAGTATGGTTTTACCCAGCTTTTAGCAATATTCCAGCAATATCACGGCGGGGGACACCAGAAATGGGCTTCACACATTGTACCCATGTCGGGAATAGAACCCGGGTCTTCGGCCTGACGAGCGAAAGCTTTAACCACTAGGCTACCCCACCGCCCCTAAAGAATAAAGTGGTTGTCAACATAACAAAGAGCAACTTTGTGTATATTATTACTCAGCAAACAGGCTCTCAAGTTAGAGGTACAGAGTCATGATCCCTCTCACTGACCACTCAAATATACCCTAAAATCAAGGTAGAATATCATAAAATCATGGTAGACAGATAGTATCATCACATATTCCGAGAGAGAAATAAAAAAAGTGATATGATAAGATTGAATATGTATAAAAGTATAAATCTGACATCTGAATAAGTGCACTATCACAACCGTCTTCCCCCCATGACATTAGAGGATCAACCAGTCACACTGATAGTTCATCATTCTCCTCCTTCTTCAATCAATAGCTTCAAGGGCATTCAGAAGTTGAAGCATCAGGGAACACAGAGTTGTCTTATCAATTTCAACTTCGTCATTCTATCAAAGTGACATTTCTGTGCATAGAGTACTTCTATCTCTCAAAACAATCTCACTGAATGACTGAAGAATGTTGACTGTGTCCTTCCTTCGGTCTGTGTGTGACACCAGCAGCAGGTGTGACGTTATTTCTTCAGCCCTATTTCTTTAGCCACGTAGTTGGAGACTTGCACATGCAACTGATCTTTGGTTTCCCCGTAGACAGTGGAGGCAAATGTCTTAGCTGCGTCCGACCCCTTCATCAGGGCCTTGTAGATGGGTAGTGTGTACTTCTGTTTGCCTGGAACAGTCCGAAGTGTCCATGAATATAGAATTCTGTTACAACCAAACCCCCTAACAAAAAACTCCTCACATAAACTCGGGAACAATGGATGACATCATCTTCAATTATTCATGACAATGAATTAATATGATGTCATATTGTTTTATGGGCCTCTTTGCAAACAAATGTTTACAAACCTGTTTTTGCATTCATGTTTCCATAAAATAAAAAAAGGGGCCATGCCCACTAACAGACAACTGTTTCCTGATTGGCTAAAAATCGCATGGGAGCGGCTTGTGTTGCATTATTGTGCTGAACGATGATACTGATTTCATATTGTTGCCTTCAGTTGTTTGTGTGTTAAGGCTGTCTCTGAACTTATTATTGTTGATGTATGTATATATATAAGGCTAATAATAATCTTGGTTCTCAGGCACCACCCGCTTCATCACAATGTCTGCCACATGTTTCATTTCAACAGTAGTCAAATATTATTCCAGTATTTTACTCATGGAGGAATACATTTGTGTAGGGAGGCCTTTCCCCAGGTTGAATGTACACATCTTTTTATTTGGTTACACAACTGTTTATTTGGTTACATACTGAGTTTGAACCACTCCCCCCCCCCCCCCCCCCCCCCCCCCCCACCCCCCCAAAAAAGACACCACATGCCCGCACTATATTTCACAATTCTTTCATCTTATTAAGCCTAACAGTAGATTTCAATCCATTCTGTTTGCACTTATAGAGGTATGAAAACAGGTGTGCTCCCTTTGTGTACATCCGCTACAGTGTGCACACTGAATACTGAAAAACGCTTTCCAGGTTGGGTGCCATTTTTTTAAAAAACGTGATCAGCAGCTATCTTGACAATGCAGGAAGTCCTTGATGTCTGGGAAGGCTGGCTGGTAGTCATTCTTGATGCAGATTTGAGCCCATCTCAAACAGATCTGAAAGCAGGATGGCACAATTATCCTGTGGAACATATTATACCTCTTAACTTTTGATAGGCGTGTCAGGGATATCTGGATCTGCCCAGAAGCTTGGCAGCAAATGGTAGTTATAATTCCAAAGCTGCATTTTATGTTAACATACTTATGACCTATGTTATGGCTGTGTGGAAGCGACTTGTATTTCACAGATAACCAATACAGAGGAAGAGGCTCCCATGCTAAGTTTTACATTATTGCTTGAATGCATGTTAAAATACAAGGTTAAAATACGTCTGAACTTACAAAAATATCAATCCCAGTCCTCAAATCCAAATTTTGAACAAAACAATCAAGCCATAAAAGCAAAGATGTGGAAATAAGTTGATAACATTACTCATTTTCTGACATACGTTTGTGTGAAATTTTCTGACATACAGACAATAGGTTTGTGTGAAATATTTCTCATTGGCATTGTTAACCATCTTACAAAAATTGAAACAAATAAGAAACAAGGTATCAGTTTATTTCCTCCTTTCTGTTACTGCACTATCAACTGACCTCTGCGTTGTGTGACCTTGCCAGGTGAGGGTACTTCTCGGCTATGGCCGCCAGAGTCTCGGCCTTCAGTGCAGACTTCTCCAGCAGCTTCTTGAGGAAGTGGAGCAACTGGTAGCTCTTCCAGGAACTGATGTCAAGGAAACTCTCCTGGAGGAAACACAGTAAACATGGAAATGAACATGATCTGGACCTCAGACAAAATTACATAGAAAACTGACAGGAGAGTCGGAAATCATCTAAGATGTAAACGTGAACATAATGGGCATTGTAGACAGTAAAGAAACAGGTTTGTGAAGATATCACAAGCTTTACATCATTCAGCAGCTGATCCAGGATTTTGAAAAAGGGAGGTTGGAAACTATATTTAAGTTATGAAAAGAACAAAACCACACGGTAGGTTTTAATGTAGGGCACCTTAAAAGGGGGAGGATCTACTTGTGCATCTGCAGCTGTTCACTAAAAGAATTGCAGGATTCAGCAAGCACCTGCAACCAGTCTAACCCACAGTAGCAATTACAAGTTCATCATCTAAAAGTAAACACATCTGATTCATGTCATACATCTTCCCGAGGCAAGGGAGTTAACTGTCTACGAAAATCCAGTTTCAACCCTTGACAAACTACGCTGGAATTTTGTGGCTCAATCGTAGCGCAACCATTTGCTATTACGTGTATGTCCCTTCTATGTGCCTCCTATTGACCAATCAGATTCCACCTATCATCTCACTTGCATTTGCTTCAAATGAAATGGAGTGCCCTGTCAAGACGATCTGATTGATAATCATGATCTATGTTGAAGAAGCATCGAAGAGCATCGAATCTTTTGAGCACCTTGATCAAAAGCATGAAAAGATTTGAAAGATATATGTCAAAGCCCAGTTGTACACATGTTTTTCAAATCCTGCTGACAACAAAATCTGCAAGTTGAAATCCATGTTGTTTATGAACCGGATGTCTAGTTCGTAGCGCAATTTTTACTGGACTATGCATAGACTCATTAGACCAGCAAACTCAGGAATTCCAGCCAAGTTTCGATAGGAAAGTGGACTTTTACAATTAACTCCCTTGCCTTGGGAAGGTGATATCGTGCTGTACCTCAGTTGTCTCCCCTGCCAGGGCATCAGCCAGTTGTTCTGCTGGCTCGGTCAGCTCTTTGCCTGCTGAGAGATCAGGGACATACGGCGGCCAGCCGGGGGTGTTGAGCCATCGGTCAAACTCCAAACCTTCCCTGTCAACAGATGTGTAGATCGTGAAATGTGCATACAAAACAAATAGAGGATGGTTAAAGCCAGGGGTAAATATCATAAAGAGGAAGCCTGGGGTCCGTGAGGTATTTGGCTACAGTCGCTGAAGCTAATATTGAATCAAAGGACCTTCTAATCTAAATCATTGTTCGTATTAGGACTACAACAGTTATCAAACCATGTCAAAATGTTTCAAAATCAACTAAAGATTCATGTTGGTACGATGAGGTGAAAATGGGGATTAGTGTCAAGTTTAAGATCATATTAAATACATGACCGCGTGTGGCTGCTTGTATGATGCCGATACCATACCATGATAAACCATGCCGCAGTTTAACAAAGACACCCCACTCTGAGGAAGCAGGGCAACAACAAATGCCATATTCTAACATCTTTTGGGATGACGCATCTGGCAAACAGACTATATCCACTTGACCTCAGAGGTGTTTATAAAAATCACCTTTGATTCATGCATTGAGGAGTAAGTGAGATAGGCAGTGAATGCTTATTCTAACATGACATTCATGGATGATCTAATTTGATTGGCTAACTCAACAAAGCATAAAGAAAGGGTGCATTTTAATAAAAGCATTTTAGTCATGGTAAAAAACATATTCCATTTACAAAGTTTGAGGTGGTACATCGTTCATTGAACACAACTAAAAAGACAGTTCAGGGACTCATTCCAATAGGATTCACCTAAGTTGGCTGAATGGACAAGCATTGGTTGCTGGGGACCAATTCTTACACGGAATGATCTCGGTTGGCACAATGGACAAGTATTGGTCGCAGGGAACCCATTCTAACCCGGAATCATCTTATCTGGCACAATGGACAAGTATTGGTTGCTTGGGACCCATTCTAACCCGGAATCATCTTAGCTGGCACAATGGACAAGTATTGGTCGCAGGGGACCCATTCTAACCCGGAATCATCTTATCTGGCACAATGGACAAGTATTGGTCGCAGGGGACCCATTCTAATCCGGAATCATCTTATCTGGCACAATGGACAAGTATTGGTTGCTTGGGACCCATTCTAACCCGGAATCAACTCAATTGACCAATTTGTACAAGGAATCCCAAAAGGACCAGGCTGGAAGACATACACACCGTTGGTCTGCTTTCTGTTCCTTGAGATCAGGGAAATACTGCAGGAAATACTCCAGTGTGTCAGATGCCACCACACTCTACAACAAACATCACAAAAGATTTTCAATTGTCAAAAAGCACACATTCAATATAAGGGTAACGCTCTTTTTCAGGGCTTTATCATTTGCAGAAGCCCGAGGTCTTCCATGAAATGTCCGACGAAGGAGAGCAGTTGAAAAGACCGAGGGCTTCTGCAAATGATAATGCCCAGAAAAAGAGCGTTATCGTTAATATAGCTAACATGGATGTAATTTGTTATCAAATAAAAAGAAACAACAATATCGGTTTTGAAACATTTACTGCAATCAACACGAATGTCACTGACCCACTTTTACAAATAAGGAAACGTCACAGAACAAACCAGATGACGTCGTTATTAAAAGTGACTTCACCCATCCCTACCCTATAACGGGCGTGATAATGGCCCGTCGTCAAGCACTATGAGGGCATTAAAAAGTTACAGTGGCCCGCACATTTCTGATAGCATGCCCGCAGTTTAATGATAATTCTATCCATTTAAACTGTAATTTGTGTTAAAGATCCTTACGATATAATGTGTATATAGCAGAAATAGTCAAGAATTGTCAAAACAAAAAAAGTTCATTCAAGTTTATTTTCATGATAACAACCACGTAGCTGTTCAACTGATCAAGGTTGCATGTAGCTGACAAAACAGTAGCCTTTCTCGTACGGCGTCTCGTTGTATGTGTCATCGGGGTCAACACCAGGCTCGATAACTACCTTCAACTTGTTGAAGGGATGGTCCTAAACACAGAGCGAGGTTGTTAACACAAGCAGTATCAGAGTGTCTTAGAGCCAGGGATGAACACAAGCAGTATCAGAGTGTCTTAGAGCCAGGGATGAACACAAGCAGTATCAGAGTGTCTTAGAGCCAGGGATGAACACAAGCAGTATCAGAGTGTCTTAGAGCCAGGGATGAACACAAGCAGTATCAGAGTGTCTTAGAGCCAGGCCATGAACACAAGCAGTATATGAGTGTCTTAGAGCCAGGGATGAACACAATCGGTATCAGAGTGTCTTAGAGCCAGGGATGAACACAAGCGGTATCAGAGTGTCTTAGAGCCAGGCCATGAACACATGCAGTATCAGAGTGTCTTAGAGCCAGGGATGAACACAAGCGGTATCAGAGTGTCTTAGAGCCAGGCCATGAACACAAGCGGTATCAGAGTGTCTTAGAGCCAGGCCATGAACACAAGCAGTATCAGAGTGTCATACAGCCAGGATATGAACACAAGCAGAATCACCAGTACTAGACAGTCAGGTCCATCTTGATTATCCATCCATCCATGTTAGATCCACTCAGTATCATCAGTTTCATGTAGCTAGGATATAAACACAAGCAGAACCACTAGTATGATACCTACCTGTACAGTATCGTCAGCATCAGTTACACCTAGCTGTACAGTATTGTCAGCATCAGCTTCATCTACCTGTACAGTAGTGTCAGCATCAGCTACACCTACCTGTATAGTATTGTCAGCATCAGCTTCATTTACCTGTACAGTATTGTCAGCATCAGCTACTCCTACCTGTACAGTATTGTCAGCATCAGCTACACCTACCTGTACAGTATTGTCAGCATCAGCTACACCTACCTGTACAGTATTGTCAGCATCAGCTACTCCTACCTGTACAGTATTGTCAGCATCAGCTACTCCTACCTGTACAGTATTGTCAGCATCAGTTACACCTACCTGTACAGTATTGTCAGCATCAGCTTCATTTACCTGTACAGTATTGTCAGCATCAGCTACTCCTACCTGTACAGTATTGTCAGCATCAGCTACACCTACCTGTACAGTATTGTCAGCATCAGCTACACCTACCTGTACAGTATTGTCAGCATCAGCTACTCCTACCTGTACAGTATTGTCAGCATCAGCTACACCTACCTGTACAGTATTGTCAGCATCAGCTACTCCTACCTGTACAGTATTGTCAGCATCAGCTACACCTACCTGTACAGTATTGTCAGCATCAGCTACTCCTACCTGTACAGTATTGTCAGCATCAGCTACACCTACCTGTACAGTATTGTCAGCATCAGCTACTCCTACCTGTACAGTATTGTCAGCATCAGCTACACCTACCTGTACAGTATTGTCAGCATCAGCTACACCTACCTGTACAGTACTGTCAGCATCAGCTACTCCTACCTGTACAGTATTGTCAGCATCAGTTACACCTACCTGTACAGTATTGTCAACATCAGCTACACCTACCTGTACAGTATTGTCAGCACCAGCCTTATCTACCTGTACAGTATTGTCAACATCAGCTACTCCTACCTGTACAGTATTGTCAGCACCAGCCTTATCTACCTGTACAGTATTGTCAACATGGAAGCCACATACCTCTCCTGTGTGGTCCATGTGTAGACGGAGCAGGGCCAGGCCGGTGCCTGCCTCCAGACAGGTGTACGGGCGTCCCAGTATCTCTTCCATGATGCGCCGCTGTGCAAACATTGTGAAACCCTGCCCATGGAAAGGAAAAACATTTCCACCTATGTGAAACAGATAATGATGAACAAGTCTATTTCCACAGTCAGAGCAATTGAGTTTTTACCTTAGGGTTTCTATTCTAATTGGGTTATTACATTTTTCATTGGGTAGCCAATATTTTTTCACTCATCTAGTCATCATTCTATTGGGTTTTTCCCAAAATTAGCGAACATTTTAAGATTGATAAATAATGAAATAATGTTTTAGATTTATATAACTGTTCTAAATATAAAGGCTTGACTCAGAAAGTAAATTAGCTCGTAATTGTGTTTCAGAAATTAGCTCCTTTGTAAGCATTAGGTATTTACAGGTGCTGTTTTTATACATTTGAATTTTTCATTTAATGCATGCATTTCTGTACACAAAAATAATTGAAAGTGAATATTTGGGGGTAGTATTTTACACAAATACACAGCTTATCTGAAGCTCGGAACAGTCCTAGCATTTGCCATTGAAGCATATGTACCTTAGCCGACTGCCTCAGTAAGGGGCTAGGCACAGGTCAACAGGTTTTATGTGTACAAAATCAGAATGGTAACATATGAAGACAAAAGCCACACAACATTACACAGCCTACCTCGTTGAGCCAGAAGTCCCCCCATGTGGCATTAGTGACCAGGTTTCCAAACCAGCTGTGAGACTGCAATTATAATCAGGCGATAGTAGTCACAGTTACCTCCCCTTAGTCCCTGATTTCAACTACCCCAATTTAACATAGCATAGGATACACTTAAGAATATCTGCTTGTCTGTATATAAGAGTATTTGACTTTTCAAGGACAGGTACAGTAAAACATGGATATAACGAACTACAAAGGACCGGAGAAATCAGTTCGTTATATCCGTTCTTCGTTATATAAGTTTAACAAGGTTGATCCGTCACTGCTGATTGTGTTGATTCACCGCTGATTGCGTACAGCCAATTGTCAGGGACACTTGACACTGAGTGAGATTTCTCAGTTCGCTATACACATCACTACTTAGTGATAGATGGGCTTGTCAGTGATCAGATATCAGTTCACTGTATCTGTTAGTTCGCTGTAGAGAGTTCGTTATGTACGTAAATTTGATATGATATGATGTAAGAGATAAATCGGGGATTTTTTAACAGTTCGTTGTATCCATTTGTTCGCTCTATCCGTGTTCGTTATATCCAAGTTCTACTGTACTTTAAATCTGCACGTCTTGTTGTTACTGGCCTATGAAAACAGAAGGCGTCATTGAGGATGCTAGTACACTCCAGTAAACTACATTTACCACGAATATGCTCATAATGAACTGACTGATAAGAAACTTATTTCTTGGTCCCAGCCATTTACTGTATAAATGCTGCATACATGCTTAAAACAAACTACAGTTATAACGAACTAAAATTAACAGTCTCTTTGAGCCTGTTGAGTTTTTTTGGTTTTGTTTTTAAATTTTTATTCAGTCATATACACAGGATACATATGTAATCGAAAAGCAGTACAGCTTCAAGTATAAAGGTACTTCTCAAAAGGATGTGGTACAGAGGAGGCCTAAGGCATAATCCACAACATGGCACAGATGTAGGCATATTTATGTATACAATTGAGAAGATGAGAAGATGCGGTATTTATGGTACATCAAATTATGTTGCAAGCATCAAGTGAATAAGTTATTTTGCAGTTTGAGGAAACAAAGCCCATTTTCTATTAAAGACAGAGAAGTCGTTTCTACGTGCAATATGATATTCAACGTCATAGATACTTCTTATTGTGTTCTTAAAAGCAACAAAGTCAACATTTTCATTCTTAATACACTGGACAAAGATAAATCTTTTAGCAGCTACAATCAAATGGTTAATTAAGCCTGTTGAGTTAGTTATAAGCGTAGTTTACTGTATATGCACTTGTTCGTCCCACGATGGACACAGTCAGGGAGATCACTCATTCATCAATCACATCCAACGCTACACAATATATCAACCCCATGACATAACAATGACCTTTAAGAAAACATGGAGACCTCTATACATTTGTTTGCTTTTTAGTGAGTAAGTGAGTGAGTGAGTGAGTGAGTGAGTATGGTTTTACGCCGCTTTTAGCAATATTCCAGCAACATCAGAGCGGTGGACACCAGAAATGGGCTTCACACATTGTACCCATGTTGGGAATGGAACCCGGGTCTTCAGCGTGACGAGCGAACGCTTTAACCACTAGGCTACCTGACCACCCCTGTTTGCTTTTTAACTTGTCTGAGGGGCACATAGTCAAAAATATACAAATTCACATATTTCACTCAGAATCACAATATTTTACGATGTACAAGGCCGTATTGCAAAACATATAACAATATATTGTACATTTAAAAATTTTGAATTTAGAAGCAATTTGAAACACCATTGCGTAAACTGAAGTTCATAAATGGAAGAAAACAAGATGCAGGAACAACGTAAAGTTCGCTGAATAAAAAATACGCACAAATACATGCTCCGGGTATTTGGCATGCTCTTAACATTAAACACATGACAAAAATTGCTTTCTGATAGAACCGGATATACTGAGTGTTAAAAATGATGTTGTGACAAGTATCGTGGAAAGAGTGAACCTCAATATATACCGATATACCGTAATGCCGCTCACACTTAAACAGCCCTATATCTTTGATGATTGTTCATTTAGTCTGCGATTCTTTGCATTGTTTAACATAGGTGACAGCGATTGGACCACCCATGTCCCCACACGCTGTGAGAAGTCTCCAATACAAGCAGTGATTACAGACATCCTTGTATAAAAAATTACCGGGTAACGATTATGTTACAAACATTACACAAAATATTGGGAGGCCAAAGCGTTCAACTTACAATTTCATGGATGACGACGTCTGTAAGGGACTTGTCCCCAACCAGCAGGCAGGGTGTAACGAAGGTGAGACAGGGGTTCTCCATCCCCCCATACGGGAATGATGGAGGCATGATGAGGATGTCGTATCTCTCCCACACGTATGGCCCAAACAACTTCTCCCCTGTTGATATGAACTCCTCGTCCACCCCATCAAACTCTGCCCGAGCCTTCTCCTGTAAAAATGGTTTCTTTACATTTAGGATGAACCAATGAATGAAGAAGGTGAGGATGATTTAGATTTTAACATTGCGTTCAAGATTATTAACTTAAATAGTGACGTACATATGTGTGTAACTGCTTGTATAAGTCGTACTTACTGCTTGCATTAGTCGTCCTTACTGCTTGTATTAGTCGGCCTTACTGCTTGTATTAGTCGGCCATACTGCTTGTATTAGTCGGCAATACTGCTTGTATTAGTCGGCCATATTAGTCGGCCATACTGCTTGTATTAGTCGGCAATACTGCTTGTATTAGTCGGCCATACTGCTTGTATTAGTCGGCAATACTGCTTGTATTAGTCGGCCATACTGCTTTTATTAGTCGGCAATACTGCTTGTATTAGTCGGCCTTACTGCTTGTATTAGTCGGCCCAACTGCTTGTATAAGTTGGCCTTACTGCTTGTATTGGTCGGCCTAACTGCTTGTATTAGTCGGCCTTACTGCTTGTATAAGTCGTCCTTACTGCTTGTATTAGTCGGCCTAACTGCTTGTATTAGTCGTCCTTACTGCTTGTATTAGTCGGCCTTACTGCTTGTATTAGTCGGCAATACTGCTTGTATTAGTCGGCCCAACTGCTTGTATTAGTCAGCCATACTGCTTGTATTAGTCGGCCTTACTGCTTGTATAAGTCGTCCTTACTGCTTGTATTAGTCGGCCTAACTGCTTGTATTAGTCGGCCTTACTGCTTGTATAAGTCGTCCTTACTGCTTGTATTAGTCGGCCTAACTGCTTGTATTAGTCGGCCTAACTGCTTGTATTAGTCAGCCATACTGCTTGTATTAGTCGGCCATACTGCTTGTATTTGTTGGCCTTACTGCTTGTATTAGTCGGCCCAACTGCTTGTATTAGTCAGCCATACTGCTTGTATTAGTCGGCCATACTGCTTGTATTAGTTGGCCTTACTGCTTGTATTAGTCGGCCTAACTGATTGTATTAGTCAGCCATACTGCTTGTATTAGTCGTCCTTACTGCTTGTATTAGTCGGCCTTACTGCTTGTATTAGTCGGCCTTACTGCTTGTATTAGTCGGCCTTACTGCTTGTATTAGTCGGCCATATTAGTCGGCCATACTGCTTGTATTAGTCGGCAATACTGCTTGTATTAGTCGGCCATACTGCTTGTATTAGTCGGCAATACTGCTTGTATTAGTCGGCCATACTGCTTGTATTAGTCGGCCATACTGATTGTATTAGTCGGCCTTACTGCTTGTATTAGTCGGCCTAACTGCTTGTATTAGTCAGCCATACTGCTTATATTAGTCGGCCATACTGCTTGTATTAGTTGGCCTTACTGCTTGTATTAGTCGGCCTAACTGCTTGTATTAGTCAGCCATACTGCTTGTATTAGTCGGCCATACTGCTTGTATTAGTCGGCCATACTGCTTGTATTAGTCGGCCATACTGCTTGTATTAGTTGGCCTTACTGCTTGTATTAGTCGGCCTAACTGCTTGTATTAGTCAGCCATACTGCTTGTATTAGTCGGCCATACTGCTTGTATTAGTCAGCCTTACTGTTTGTAGTAGTCGGCCTTACTGCTTGTATTAGTCAGCCATACTGCTTGTATTAGTCGGCCATACTGCTTGTATTAGTCGGCCTTACTGCTTGTATTAGTCGGCCTTACTGCTTGTATTAGTCGGCCTTACTGCTTGTATTAGTCGGCCTTACTGCTTGTATTTGTCGGCCTTACTGCTTGTAGTAGTCGGCCTTACTGCTTGTATAAGTCGGCCTTACTGCTTGTATTAGTCGGCCTTACTGCTTGTATTAGTCGGCCATACTGCTTGTATTAGTCGGCCTTACTGCTTGTATTAGTCGGCCTTACTGCTTGTAGTAGTCGGCCTTACTGCTTGTATAAGTCGTCCTTACTGCTTGTATTAGTCGGCCTAACTGCTTGTATTAGTCGGCCTAACTGCTTGTAGTAGTCGGCCTTACTGCTTGTATTAGTCGGCCTTACTGCTTGTATTAGTCGGCCTTACTGCTTGTAGTAGTCGGCCTTACTGCTTTTATAAGTCGTCCTTACTGCTTGTTTTAGTCGGCCTTACTGCTTGTAGTAGTCGGCCTTACTGCTTGTATAAGTCGTCCTTACTGCTTGTATTAGTCGGCCTAACTGCTTGTATTAGTCTTCCTTACTGCTTGTATTAGTCGGCCTTACTGCTTATATTAGTCGGCCTTACTGCTTGTATTAGTCGGCCATATTAGTCGTCCTTACTGCTTGTATTAGTTGTCCTTACTGCTTGTATTAGTCGGCCTAACTGCTTGTATTAGTCGACCTAACTGCTTGTATTAGTCGGCCATACTGCTTGTATTAGTCGTCCTTACTGCTTGTATTAGTCGGCCATACTGCTTGTAATAGTCATCCTAACTGCTTGTATAAAGCTATTCTATAGAAGCACCGTTTGTGTTTCACTAATATCAGGTGGTACGTGTCTATCCTGGGCTATTGCACCAGGCGTTATCTTGTGATCACCATACAGTAAGTATATTTGGCGCCTGTTTTTCAATAATGTCGCTTCCGATCATCTTTGGGGATCCATCTTATGATACCTTGATGTTGAATGTTGGACAAATAATACGCATATGTAACTTAAAACATGTCTCCAAATTTGTCCAGTCTGTGATGCCCGATGCAATTCCCGTGTTAAAGTTGAACACTTGACTTGCCTTTGCATGTGTTGACAATGGGTGCCACCGGTGTGGCAGGATACGCTGAACGTTTCGCGAATATCTGGTATCATCCCTATCTGATAGTGATTCACCAACACATGCATATGATACAGTGGCAATCGTACAGTGGACAGCTTTTAACAGAGATTAATGACGATGAAAATTGGTTTGTCTAAGTAAATTGGGTTTATCCACGTATCTCCATAAAAATCTGTATAAAGAGAGATACATTGCTGGGTCCAGCACATGTACTAACAAATCTCTCAAAGACAAGCCTTAATCCTTGATACAAGCAAGGAAGAGCTTTCGTTATATCCACAGAAAGTACTCGAGACAAGCTGAATTAAAACCACTCGGGGTCTCAAAAACTCAAAGGATTTGCTTGACGTTTTGCAATCTCAGAAGAAGAAAAAATCCATTCTGTCAAAACATTTGATTTTACCATTTTGTACACCACTTGACAAAGTTAAGGAAAAACTTCATTCATTGAGCCATGAGGCTTTTGTCATAAAATGTTGTTACCACAGATACAGTTACGTATCTGTCAAAATTAAAGCAACTGACATCGGAAGTTTTCTGAGAAAACAATATGTGAAATGCTGGACGTCGTCATTGATGACATCTATGTACAATTTGGGGGTAAGACATTTAGGCAAGAAGTAGGCATCCACGTGGGCACCAATTCAGCTCCAATTGTGTGGCCCTTCGTGCGGATCTGTTTCTTGCATATGAATCGAATTTCTGCTCGGATTGGCATTCAAAAGGTAATTGATACCTTTAGTACATGGTTGATAGTGGACATATATCGTTCCATTGTAAAATTTCTTCGTTTCATTTTGGTCTGCCATTTCTCACGTTGGGAAAGTTTGAGAAGGCTATTACTTGTTCATAAAAGAAGCTTCATCCTTACTGTTTCACAGAGATCGTTCAATGTACTGTTTATCTCACTCTCACAGATGGCGGTGTTGGTTTTAGCCTTTCTCCATTGGGATGACATTTGTTTCTCATAAAAGCTTTCTTTTCAATCATTAAAGGGCATATATACTCATAGGCACTCGTTATTGGTCAGTAAAAAAATATATATACCCCCTGTGAGTAGAAATCTTATACATTGTATGTATTTATATTTACTGACCAATAACGAGTTCGCATGCTAAAAATATCCCTAATAAACACTACGCCTTTTTCAAACCATTTATCTTATATACTCTTTCTGAAAATTGATGGTTTAGCCACAATGGTTCAGTTAGAATCTTACTGATGGTTATTGATCTATGGTTTGTTGACTGTCATATTACCCCAAGTATCCAAAACGTCTTTCTACGTCTGTCCATGAGCCTGAATACAATAATGGTTTCTCCAAATGCAAAGGATTTGTTTGTTTTTGTTGTTTAACGCCACATTCAGCAATACTTCAGCAATATGATGGCGGTCTGTAAGTAATCAAGCCTGGACCAGACAAACCAGTGATTGATATTTTGAAAAACGAAACACCCCGTCAGGTTACATTGCCACGAAAATCAACAAAGTCACAGAGCCTGGCCATCAGATCACCTCTTACGCCAAGCAAGACGAATTATAACCCAGATTCACTAGGATGATAATCTATAGGAAGGTCACAGAGGCAATAATGTGGATTATTGTACAAGTGGCGCTTTAAACGTGATAATATATGAGATTCTACGAAATATGCCGCTTCATACTTTCGCTGTATTTCTGTTGATTTTATGTATGTTTTCAAAAGGTTTTGACCGATTCAGACGATTCTATTTGTGGCTGAATCTCGGGGTTACCGAGTTCACAATAGCCAATGAGTTGAATTCTCAACCAAAGGAAGTTATTAAGGGCCTAGTTGAAACCGGAAGTGACATATTCAGAACCGGAAGCACCAATAGCTCTTTTACAAAGTACATAGAGTTTGTTGGTATAAAGCAATGGTTATTTGTTTTCTCAGTGAATAAAAGTATGTTTTTCTTAAACAGGACAGAAACTTTTAATACCACATCCGTGCTAAAACATACTGAAAAATTAAGTTAGATACAGATACAGGATATTCTGACATAAGCTAGTTACCATTAGTTGTCTAGCCTCTTTGGTCCAAGGAAAATGAGCAGATAAAAAATATCTATTTTGATCTATTCCTAAAAAAACGATTAGTCCAAATTTACATGTTCCGCCATCTTTAGATGCTTGATATTAGTTTCTCGTGACAGCCATATTGGATTCATTTACATCTTCTTTTGAGTGTCTTCCGAAATTTTCTCCAACGAAACAAGGTTTCACAGTTCACATCAGGACTGCCG